TCTCCCTCCTCATTGGCCTAAGACAGCATCAGGAGCCATTGGTTCCAGTTGCTGTCAATCACAGCCTGTGAGCAAATGAGGAGAGAGTGGGGAGTGGGGCTGAGCCACAGCTCTTTTTTGTCTTATGGAACATAGAGCAGTGGCTCGGGAGCGAGCACACAGCAGTGCCCCCAGGGCAAGCAGCTTCCTCTGGGAGCACTGCTCGAGAGCACCGGCTGGGAACATGAAAAGAAGAGGATCAGGACAGCTGTGTGCAAAACTACTGCACAGAGCAGGTAAGTATAACATGCTCTAGTACCACTTTAAATTGTTCAGGCACGTCCTGTTATGTGGTGACAACTGTCTTCCAATAGTGCTTGTAGTTTTGTCACACGTGCCACCAAGAGGACTACAAATGCTAGTGCTAGGTCTGGACCACCGCTGTAGAGATGTAAGAATTTCAGGCCAGAGTAATGATTTCCAGTGAACGTTGGAGCAAACGCATGTAGCTAAGAAGAGCCTAAGGGCCCATTCACACTTATGCATCATGTGCCATAATGCATGTGCAGCACAGTGGCTAAATGGTTAACACTTCTGCCTGGCAGTACTAGGGTCGTTGGTTCGAATCTCAACCATGGCACCACCTGCCTGGAGTTTGCATGCTCTCCCTGTGCCTGTGTGGGTTTCCTCCAGATACTCCGGTTTCCTCCCACACTCCAAAGACATTCTGGTAGGTTAACTGGCTCCTGTCTAAATTGTCTGTAATATGTGTATGTATGAATGTGATTTAGAGACCTTAGATTACTGAAAACTGGCATTTCAGTTTCCTTTTTTTCGTAAATCTGTTTTGGGATCTGGAGCCTGGAGATTTCAAAGTGATCTGGGAGGGATGAAATCTCCAATCCTGGGTCCATATTTTTTGAACCCCAGCACACTAATTGTACAGGTGTGTGCAGGGCTTTAAATAATAACCTGACTAGGGTCCTGGGCTCCACCCCAGCAGACAGGACCTAAGCATGCAGACTGCTTCTACAAACATTTGTGAAAGAATGGGTCGCTGTCAGGAACTCAGTGAATTCAAGCTTGGTACTGACATAGGTTGCGACCTGTGCAATCCGTAAAAATTCCTTGCTACTAAATATTCCGCGGTCAACTGTTAGTGGTATTATAACAAAGTGGAAACAACTGGGAACAACAGCAAATCAGCCACGAAGTGGTAGGCCACGTAAAATGATAGAGTGGGGTCAGCACATGCTGAAGCGCACAGAAGTCACCAACTGTCTGCACAGTCAAAATCTAAAGACCTCCAAACTTCATATGACCTTCAATTAGCACAACAACAGTACAGAAATTCATGGAATGGGTTTCCATGGCCAAACAGCTGCATCCAAGCCTTACATCACCAAGTGCAATGCAAAGTGTCGGATGCAGTGGTGTAAAGTACGCTGTCACTGAACTCTAAAGCTGTGGAGACGTGTTCTCTGGTCTGACAAATCATGCTTCTTTGTCTGGCAATACAATGGACGTGTCTGGGTTTGGGTTTGGCGGTTGCCAGGAGAACAGTACTTGCCTGACTGCATTGTGCCAAGTGTAAAGTTTGCTGGAGGGGGATTATGGTGTGGGGTTGTTTTTCAGGGGTTGGGCTTAGCCCCTTAGTTCTAATTAAGCGAACTCTAAAGTCGTCAACATTCCAAGACATTTTGGCCAATTTCATGCTCCCAACTTTGTAGGAACAGTTTGGGGATGGCCCCTTCCTGTTCCAATATGACTGCGCACCAGTGCACAATGCAAGGTTCATAAAGACATGGATGAGCGAGTTTGGGGTGGAGGAACTTGACTGACCTGCACAGAGTCCTGACCTCAACCTGATAGAACACCTTTAGGATGAATGAGAGCAGAGACTGCGAGCCAGGCATTCTCGTTCAATATCAGTGCCTGACCTCACAAATGAGGTTCTGGAAGAATGTCAAACATTCCAATAGACACATTCCTAAACCTTGTAGACAGCCTTCCCAGAAGAGTTGAAGCTCTTATAGCTGCAAAGAATGGGCCAACTCAATATTGAACCCTAAGGCCTAAGACAGGGTTACCATTAAAGTTCATGTGTGTGTAAAGGCAGGGACCCCAAAACTTTTGCCAAAATAGTGTGCATATACACATATATATACACATATATAAAAAAAACACACACACTGCTCAAAAAAATTAAAGGGACACTTTTTAATCAGAGTATAGCATCAAGTCAGTTAAACTCCTGGGATATTGATCTGGTCAGTTAAGTAGCAGAGGGGGTTGTTAAATAGTTTAAGCTACTTTGGTGACAATGAGATTAGCAACAGGTGCACTAGATGGCCAACAATGAGATGATCCCCAAAACAGGAATGGTTTTACAGGTGGAGGCCACTGACATTTTTTTCCCTACTCTTCTTTTCTAAATGTTTTTCACTAGTTTTGCATTTGGCTAGGGTCAGTGTCACTACTGGTAGCCTGAGGCAATACCTGGACTCTACAGAGGCTGCACAGGCAGTCGAACTCCTCAAGAGCATGGAGGAGATTCCAGGAGACAGGCAGTTACTCTAGGAGAGCTGGACAGGGCCGTAGAAGGTCCTTAACTCATCAGCAGGACTGGTATCTGCTCCTTTGGAGGAGCAGGATGAGCACTGCCAGAGTCCTACAAAATGACCTCCAGCAGGCCACTGATGTGAATGTCTCTGACCAAACAAGCAGACTTCATGAGGATGGCCTGAGGTCTCTAGTGGGCCCTGTGTTTACTGCCCCGGAACCATAGAGCTCAATTGCCATTTGCCATTAAACACCAGAATTGGCAGGTCTGCCACTGGCACCCTGTGCTTTTCACAAATGAGAACAGGTTCACCCTGAGCACATGTAACAGACGTGAGAGGGTTTGGAGAAGCTGTGGAGAACATTCTGCTGCCTGTAACATCGTTCAGCATGACCATTTGGTGGTGGGTCAGTGATGGTCTGGGGAGGCATATCCATGGAGAGATGCACAGACCTTTACAGGCTAGACGATGGCAACCTGACTGCCATTAGGTATCAGAATGAAATCCTTGGACCCACTGTCAGACCCTACGCTGGTGCAATGGGTCCTGGGTTCCTCCTGGTGCACGACAATGCCCGGCCTCATGTGGTGAGAGTATGCAGGCAGTTCCTGGGGATAAAGGAATTGATACCACTGAATGGCCCCCACGCTCACCTGAACTAAATCCAGTAGAACACCTCTGGGATATCATGTTTTGGTCCATCGGACAGTGCCAGGTTGCACCTCAGACTGTCCAGGAGCTCAGGGATGCCCTGGTCCAAATCTGGAAGGAAATACCCCAAAACACCATCCGTTGTCTCATTAGGAGCATGCCCCGATGTTGTCAGGCATGCATACAAGCATGTGGGGGCCATACAACCTACTGAGTACCATTTTGAGTTACTGCAATGAAATTTCAGCAAAATGGACTAGCCTGTTGCATCATTTTTTTTCACTTTAATTGTTGAGGTGTCTTTGAATTCAGTCCTCTGTAGGGTGATAATTTTCATTTCCATCAAACAATGGGGCATCCTTACATTCCTAACATGTTACCCAGTCCAGAACAGTATATAGATATCCAGCATAATATTTTTCCCTATTGAGGTCTGATGTGTTTTCAAGTTTTCCTTTACTTTGACCAGTGTATATACACACATATATATATATATATATATATATATATATATATATATATATATATATATATATATATATATATATAAAGATATATAGTACATTCACATCAGTCCCTGTCCTCAAGCAGTTTACAATCTAAAGTCCCTAACTCACATTTATCTATCTAAATATCTATATTTATTTATTATTGCATTTAGATGTCGGTGCACTTTCATGTTTTTCATGTTACACATACAGTATAAACAGTTGCAAGAAAAAGTATGTGAACCCCTTGTGATTATGTGGAGTTTTGCACCAATGAGTACTGACCCCTGTCTGATCTATCTACCCTGTTATAATCTAATTCTCCCTTCCCCATCGAACCTAGTTTAAATACTCCTCCAGCTTTCCCATAAACCTCTCCCCCAGCACAGCAGACCCCCTTTCATTTAGGTGTAAACCATCTCTAGCATATACAGTTGCAAGAAAAAGTATGTGAACCTCTTGGGATTACGTGGAGTTTTGCATGAATTGGGCATAAAATGTGCTCTGAACGTCATCTAAGTCACAACAATAGAAGAACACAGTCTGCTGAACATATATACTACACAAACATTAGATGTTGCCATGGTTTAATTGCACAAAATATGTAAACGTTCACAGTGCAGGGAGGAAAAAGTAAGTGAGGCCCTAGCTTAATGACTTCTCCCAGAGCTAATTGGAGCCAGGAGTGAGCCAACCTTGACTCCAATCAGTGTGATGATATTGGATGTGTTGCTGACAGCTGTCCTGCCCTTAAAAAACACACACCTGTTTTGGGTTTACTGGTTTCAAGAAGCACTGTCTGCTGTGAACCATGCCTCGCAGAAAAGAGCTCTCAGAAGACCTACGATCAAGAATTGTTGACTTGCATGAAGCTGGAAAGGGTTACAAAAGTATCTCCAAAAGCCTTGATGTTCATGTGTTCATGGTAAGACAGACAGACTGTCTACAAATGGAGAAAGTTTAGCACTGTTGCTACTCTCCCTAGGCGTGGTCGTCCTGTAAAAATGACTGCAAGAGCACAGCACAGAATGCTGCATGAGGTAAAGAAGAATCCCAGAGTGTCAGCTAAAGACCTACAGAAATCTCTGGCACATGCTAACATTTTTGTTGACACATCTACAATAATGAAAACATTAACCTCTTGCCGACCGCGCATAGCCGAATGACGGCTTCACCGCGGCCGGGCCAGTTCTGGGTGGACGTCATATGACGTCCTCCCAGAACGCGCTCTCCTGCGCGCCCCAGGGGGCGCGCACCCGGCGATCTCCGTGATCGCTGTGTCCTACGGACACAGCTGATCACGTGATGTGGTAAAAGGCCAATCACAGCGGCCTTTTACCACGTGATCAGCGGTGTCCAATGACACGCTGATCACAGGGAAATGCAAGTGCCGGTTCTCGGCTGCACTTTCCATCAGTGCCCTGATGATCGGTGCAGTGCCAGCAGTGACACCCGCAAGTTCCGCCCAGCAGTGCGCCCCCACTAGCTCCGCCCACCCGTGCCCAGCAGCAGTGCCCCCACCTGTGCCACTCTGCAGTGCCACCTACCTGTGCCCAGAAGTGCCACCTACATGTGCCCAGCAGTGCCACCCACCTGTGCCCACCTACCTGTGCCCACCAGTGCCACCCACCTGTGCCCACCAGTGCCACCCACCTGTGCCCACCCACCAGTGCTGCCCACCAGTGCCACCTACCAGTGCCCAGGGGTTGTGCCAGTCAGTGCCGCCAGTCAGTGCCCAGCAGTGATGTCAGTCAGTGCCGTCTATCAGTACCCATAATCAGTGTCACCTATCAGTGCCGCCTATCAGTGCTGCATATCAGTGCCGCCTATCCGTGACCCCTAATTAGTGCTGTCTATCAGTGCCGCCTATCCGTGCCACCTCATTAGTACTGCCTATCAGTGCCCTTTAGTGCTGCCTATCAGTGCCCATCAGTGCTGCCTCATCAACGCACATCAGTGAAGGAGAAAAAATACCTGTTTGAAAAATTTTATAATAGAAACAAAGAAACTTTTTTTTTTTTTCAAATTTTTTGCACTTTTTTTATTTATAGCGCAAAAAGTAAAGCGCCCAGTGGCGATTAAATACCACCAAAAGAAAGCTCTATTTGTGAGAAAAAAATGATCAAAATTTCATATGGGTACAATGTTGCATGACCGTGCAATTGTCAAAGTGCGGCAGCGCTGAAAGCTGAAAATTGGCCTGGTAAGGAAGGGGGTATAAGTGCATGGTAGGCAAGTGGTTAAACAAGAATGGAGTACATGGGAGGACACCACAAAGGAAGCCATTGCTGTCCAAAAAGAATATTGCAGCACGTTTGAAGTTTGCAAAAGAGCACCTGGATGTTCCACAGCACTACTGGCAAAATATACTGTGGACAGATGAAACCAAGATTGAGTTGTTTGGGAAGAACACACAACACTATGTGTGGAGAAAAAAAGGCACACCACACCAACATCAAAACCTCATCCCCACTGTAAAACATGGCGGAGGGAGCATCATGGTTTGGGACTGCTTTGCTGCCTCAGGGCCTGGACGGATTGTTGTCATTGATGGGAAAATTAATTCCAGAGTTTATCAAGACATTTTGCAGGAAAACGTACGACCATCTGTCCGCCAAATGAAGCTCCGCAGAGGATGGGTGATGCAACAGGACAATGACCCAAAGCATACAAGTAATTCAACAAAACAATGGCTGCAACAGCACAGAATACGCCTTCTGGAGTGGCCCAGTCAGAATCCTGACCTCAACCCGATTGAAATGCTGTGGCATGACCTTAAGAGAGCGATTCACACCAGACATCCCAAGAATATTGCTACACTGAAACAGTTTTGTGAAGAGGAGTGGTCCAAAATTACTCCAGATCGTTGTGCAGGTCTGATCTGCAACTACAGGAAACGTTTGGTTTAGGTTATTGCTGCCAAAGGAGGGTCAACCAGTTATTAAGTCCAAAGGTTCACATACTTTTTCCTCCTTGCACTGTGAATGTTTACATGTTATGTGCAATTAAACCATGGCAACATCTAATGTTTGTGTAGTATTATGTTCAGCAGACTGTGTTCTTCTATTGTTGTGACTTAGATGACGTTCAGAGCACATTTTATGCCCAATTCATGCAAAACTCCACGTAATCCCAAGGGGTTCACATACTTTTTCTTGCAACTGTATATATAAATAAAGGGTGTGATATTTCCAATGAAATGTTCAGTACACATCATAAAGAACAAAAGAACAGAAGTACTTAGGTTCAATCGTCCTTCAAACACCATAAAAGATGATGAATGACATTCCTCTATAGTAGTGGTTGGAAGTTGGCTATTGACAGGTGTGTTTAGAAATGAGGATTGATAAGTCGATGCCATGGGAAGATAAAGAATGGCTCCTGAAAAAGATAAATGGCAGCTTCTTTCATGGTACACCTGCACATCTTCTGAGTGGGGAATTCACTCGCCAGGTGCCACTCATGAGAATAGAAAGGCCGCTGTGTACACTACAATGAAGATGAACAAAATAATACTCTGTACCGGCAAATAATATCATGTGCTACACAAGTTGTATAAGTACAGAACTACTAATAACATTTAATGTCAGCTAGGGAGTTGTAGTTTTACAAAGGTTAGGATGAGGAGTTTGATAATTAATGGAAAAATAAAATCAGTATAATTTTTTGCACTCAGCTACCATGCCCAATGAGAACCGATAGTAGCAAAACACAAAGGGGATGAATTACTAAAAACTATTGAGTGAAAAATCTGGCACAACTCTGCACAGATACCAATTAGCTTTCAGGTGTTATTGCCAAAGCTTAATTTAACAAGCTGAAGTTAGAAGCTGATTGGAAACCCTGTACAACTGCACCAGATTCTGTGTCCACCAGTTCTAATAAATCTCACCAAAAATGTATAAAAATAAACAACTCCAGGCAAAACTTTTTTTTCAGTCTGCAATAGACAAACGTAGCATGGGAGCATGGAATTTTTATTGCTTGTATGCTTTTTTTCAGGTCAGGGGCTCATTAGCTTGAACACCAAGTTGAGGGTGACAACCTTGGAGTCTGCATCATAAAAAAACATTAGTAATGGCAGCTCTTATATTGTGGCACTCATTGGTTTAATATAAATACCAATAAAAAAACTCCCCAGTTCCTCCCACTCTACTCACTCACAAAAACAATCTACTAACCCTCCTGCTGCTTGAAGTGTTCAGGACCCTGTGAGGGTCCATTTGAGGAACAGCCAATGGGAAGCATCCACATCACCAGGGAGTGATTTGGACGCTCAAAGAAGGAACCTTCCCTACTGCAGTCCAGAATTTAAAAGACCCCAGAACTAGCCTGTTAGGTGGCCATGGCTTCAGATCCGTAAAAAAATAGGGGGGTGCAGATAATGTGTGGGGTAATCCCAACAATCAGCTTTAAAGTTGAACTAAACACTAAAAAAAATTGTGGGCATTTTATTTTTCTGCCAACATATTCTTTTTATCATACAGTTGTGTCCAAAATTATTCAACCCCCACTGAAATTGAGTGTTTTGGCCAGTTTGACATTGCTTTTGATCATTCAGTCATCTTGCTTACATTTACATTAAAGAGGCACTTGTAGGTCAGACAAATATAACATAACAGTTATAATGAAATAACCACAAATGTCTTTTCTGTGCTCACAGCATTATCAGTTTTATTCAACCCCCAAGTGACATTCAATCTTAGTACTTAGTACAGCATCCTTTTACAGTTATAACAGCTTTTAAACGTGAAGCATAGCTTGACACAAGTGTCTTGCAGCGATCTACGGGTATCTTCGCCCATTCTTCATGGGCAAAGGCCTCCAGTTCAGTCACATTCTTAGGCTTGCGCACTGCAACTGCTTTCTTTAAGTCCCACCAGAGGTTCTCAATCGGATTTAAGTCTGGTGACTGCGATGGCCACTCCAAAATGTTCCAGCCTTTCCTCTGCAACCATGCTCTAGTGGACTTGGAGGTATGCTTGGGATCATTGTCCTGTTGAAAGGTCCAACGTCTCCCAAGCCTCAGGTGTGTGACGGACTGCATCACGTTTCCATCCAATATCTCCTGGTACTGAAGAGAATTCATGGTACCTTGCACACGCTGAAGCTTCCCTGTACCTGCAGAAGCAAAACAGCCCCAAAGCATGATTGACCCTCCACCATGCTTCACAGTAGGCAAGGTGTTCTTTTCATCATAGGCCTTGTTCTTCCTCCTCCAAACATAGCGTTGATCCATGGGCCCAAACAGTTCTAATTTTGTTTCATCAGTCCACAGAACACTATCCCACAACTTTTGTGGTTTGTCCACATGGCTTTTGGCATACTGCAGTCGACTCTTCTTATTCTTTGGAGACAGCAAGGGGGTACGCCTGGGAGTTCTGGCACGGAGGCCTTCATTACGCAGTGTGCGTCTTATTGTCTGGGCTGAAACTTCTGTACCCACATCTGACAAATCTTTTCTCAGTTCCTCAGCAGTCACACGGGGACTTCTCTCCACTCTACGCTTCAGGGTAGCGCACAGCAGTCGAAGTCAGCATCTTCTTTCTGCCACGACCAGGTAGCGTTTCAACAGTGCCCTTTGCCTTGAATTTGCGAATGATGCTTCCTAAGGTGTCTCTTGGTATGTTTAACATCTTTGCAATCTTCTTATAGCCATTGCCCTTCCTGTGAAGAGAAATCACCTCTTCTCTTGTCTTCCTGGACCATTCTCTTGCCTTCACCATGTTTGTAACCACACCAGTAAATGTCTAGAAGGAGCTGAGTATCACAGTCATTTTAAAGCTGCCTAATTGGTGCTTATTATGCTTGATTGCTGCTCGGTGACATCCACAGGTGTTTTCAATACCTGATGGAAAGCACCTGTATGAACCTCTGTTCTTCAGAGTGGTAGTCTTTAAGGGGTTGAATAATTGTGGCAATGAAGAAACCACATAAGAACCATTTACTACTGTATTACATAAACAATTGATGTCATTTTAGTTGCATTTGGGTAGTTACAACGTCCTTGTAGGATTTGATTCTGAATACAATTCCAAATGTACACTATAGTCCCTAAAACCCCTTTACAGCATTGGGGGTTGAATAATTTTGGACACAACTGTAGCTGAAGTTTAATCTGCTTATAATTTTTCTTCTCTGGTTTTTCCCCCCATCCCCCCACCCCTTGCCTTACCACCCTAATGGCATTTTTAAATAAAACCTACAAATATAAAATAGTGGAGCGCTAATATTGATTGACGGACATATATAACACAGTGCTACTCAGTAAAAACAGACGTCAGGATGATTATAACACATGTGCATATTCAATCCCCTATATTGGGAATGACATATAAAAAAGTACAAGTGCTCATAATGCTCATACTATGTGAGAGTCCATAATATGTCGATTCCAGACACGGTGCTTAATATATAAAACACAGCAAACCATGTGAGGTGATCACGGTGCCAAACGGTGTACAAAACATCTATAAACGGCCAAAATGGCTCCTCACCTCCTTCCTTAGACCCCCAAGGGCCAAAACACTGTGTGGGTGACCCACGTGTATTCCAGATGACTCTCCTCATGATTGAAACACTCCAGACCCCAACTGTAGCACTTCTGGACCCTCTCCTGGCTCAGGGATGCTCAAATATGAGTGACCATAACCGAATATAAATGATAACAAGAAAA